CCCGATGCTCCTTTAGCTTCAACTTTGTATTGATGTTTCTTCTTCCTGAACTTCTCAACTTTATGCAATAACACTTTCTTCTCATCATTTATTTCTCCAGCTCAATCTTAAGTGTTTCATTCTCCTTCATAATTATATCTTTCTCTGATTTGAATCATATCTGTTAGCACCATCACATCTCTCTTCTTTGAATCATCCTCCCATAAAAAAATTGCGGTTATCATTCTGCAATTTCAAAAGAAAAAAAATCTCCAGCAACAATTCCAATATAATGAGGTTTAATGCTACTATTCCAGAAAGTGAATTTGGAGTAGAATCACTTCACCATGATCCCAAATTCTTTCAATGTAACACAAAGAAAGTTTTTTTTTTCAATTTCGTATAACTCTAAAATTGAAAAGTAACTAATGGAGGCAGCCATAAAATCTCTTGCCCTTATTTCGCCCTAGAGACACCGTGTGCAATGGAGAACCAACACCATGGTTGCACTTCGCCTCTCCTTTGGACAGGGCCGTGTCTAGACATAAGTTGGCCTGAGGCAAAAAGTTAAATGAGGCCTTTTGTAAAAGCAAGTTGGCCTGAGGCAAAAAGTTAAATGAGGCCTTTTGTAAAAGCAAGTTGGCCTGGGGATTTCAAATGTCAAAGAAATTTATTTATTTTTCTTGCTTTTTCATTTGCAAATTCGTTTATTAATGTTTTATATTCTAAATGCTCTAGCATATTATTTTCTATAGATAATATGCTTAACCCGTTTAAGCGATCTTGCGACATAGTTGATCTTAAATAAGATTTCAATAATTTTAATTTTGAAAAACTTCTTTCGGCAGAAGCAACTGTCACAGGAATAGTTAATAATATTCTATACGCAATACATGTGTTTGGAAAAGAATCTAATCTCTTGATGTAATTTAGCACCTCAAGTGGAGTGTTTTCTTTATCTAGAGTTTCTTTTAAAACTTTTAACTCTGAAAATAAATCAAATCCATCAATATCTGAGTGTTCATTAAATTTTAAAAAGCTTTCAAGATTAAGGCATGATTTTTCTAATTCATTTTCTTCTAAAGTTTTTAACTTAGTTATGTCAAATAAAAAACCAAAAATTCGTTCATAAAACAGAAATTGTTCAAATCTACTTTCAATGGATGTAATAGAATGGTCCATTATATAATTGAAGTATTCAATCTCAAAAGATTCTTGAGCTGTATGAGTGGTGTTGTTATCATTACATTCATCAAATTGTCTTTTTCTACGTATCGTACGCCTTTCACAAAATATAGGTTCTACACCCATTTCAAGTGCAATTTCTTTAGTTGAAGTTAAAGCAGACTCAAAGCCTTTATGCCTATAATTTTTTAAGTAATTAGTAAGACCTTTTAATTGTGTTATAGCAACATCAATATGCATGTCTTTAGATTGTAAAGTTTTACTTACAGAATTCACGGCAAATAATATATCATACCAAATATTCATTCCTAGTAAGAATTCAAAATTTTCAAATTCATATTGCACCAAGCACATAGCTTCACTTTTTATTTTTGGGTCTTCACTAGTACTAGCTAATTGAATTAAAGCATCTTTTATTTTTTGAGTTTGGAATTTTATTGCCTTTACACATTCAATCCTACTTTCCCATCTTGTTTGAGATAAGGATTTGACTGAAATTTTGCATCCATTGTCTTGTAAAATTTTCCATCTTTTAGGAGATGAGGAAAATAAAGAATATAAGCGTTGCAATACACCAAAAAATGAAATAGCTCTATGACACGAATTAGCCATATCACATAAAACTAGATTTAAGCTATGACAACCACATGAAGTGTAAACTGCTCTAGGATTTATATCTAACAGTCTTTTTTGCACTCCTTGTGTCACGCCCCGGACCTACCGGACACGTCAACAACCCGCCGTACAGTACGAATAGTCAACCGCAGTCCAACTCATCCATACTATACTAGGCGTCTTGAATATCATTCACAATAGTACATCCATAAACAAACATAATGTAAAATAATCATTTAAATCAGCGGAAACGTTTAATACAAGTGTTTATGCCACACTCCGGCAAACATGGGCATACAAGCCCCAATAATCATTCAAAAATATCCATGAGCATTAATTGAAATGTTTTTTAAAATAGAGACGGAGGAAGCACGAACCACGTCTTCCTTCCTAGATCTTCCCGAGGCAACGGGCACTGGTAGCAAGCTCTACTCCCTACCTGAAACTGTGAGGTGGCCTCCCCCGTGAAGGGGAGGTCAGTACTTGGAAGCATTTGACAAGTACAATGACAACTATACTAAGTATAATCAACGTTTTAATTTCCAAGACCCTCAAAATAGGGTGATATCATAATATAAATAATAATTTATATTTCCCACTTATTATCTCTATAATAAGTAAATTTGTTTATTTGTCGGCACACGGCCCATTTCATATATATCATTATACCCGTCGTTAGCACGACACCGCCCGTAGGTCTTATCATCCTTTACGAGACTTGTCACCGCTCTCCGAGGCCTCACCGGGCTCTCGGGCCGGAGTCCAACATCCCGCCCCTGAACTCATACCCATCATCCCGTAGGAAGGTAAGGTCCATTCGGGGTCCTATCTTATGTGTTACCGCTGTCGGGAGCCTCGTAAGGTCTCCGGTTCGGATTCCACCCTAACCCGTGATCACGATGTAAGTCCATGCTATCCAACCCCGCTCTCTAGAGTCGGGAAGGGCCATGGTCCTTACTAATTACCAATACTCTATCGGCTAATCCTTAAAGACTATCGAATACACCCGTAGGCCAATCCTATTCCTAGGATCAATTTATTATTCACTTTATCTTGGGTATCCCTTAAGGCCTACCCCTAGCATCACTTATCCACCTTAGTATCTCTTAAGACTACTTAAGGCTCAACAATTTACAATCCAAACCTTGGATCAATTCTAACATATTTCATTCCAAAACCCCGACTAGTATCATTATACTAGTCGGATAAATTCCAACAAAATCTCATTTCAGTTCATAGTCATATAGACAATTCTCAAACTAATTTTCCATTGAAAATATAGTTCATATCGATATACAAAATATAATCTTTAATCACTCATATATCCTTATATGAAGTTAAAATTATATTTCAACATAATATTCATAGTTAATCCCTTCATCAAGCCAATATGCTCATATTACATAATCATACACAATTTATCCTTAAATTTGTATATTATGCTCCTTTATTCATTGACAACAATATTTTCATTTAGGCATTATTAATCATTAATAATCCATGAAAATAACATTTAATTACTTTAGGTAATCTTACGAAATTAACCCAAAGATTATAAACAACATAGTCAGCCATCCTCACCTTATGAAGTGCTGAAATAGTTGTCCTCGTTAAGCCCTCCGATCAACCCTCGTTCTAAACCGATCAAAAGCAACTTCTGGGCAGAATGATGAAAGCCGGGCGGCTTTCACGAAAGCTGGGCGGCTTTCGTGGTCTGCAACTACGAACAGCTCCCTTCAAGTGGCGGTTTCCGGCGGTTTCAACTCCTATCGATTCCACGACTCTTCTAAGTTAAATACCACCACTTTATAACATTATTATACACTTTTTAAACGTGTAAAACTCATGGTTTAATCCATCATATGATTTCTTAAAAATCATACACAAAAAACTAGCTAAAGGGAACTAGTTAAGTTCTTACCTCTCTTCTAGCTATTTTTCTCTTGAGCTCCCCTTCCTTCTTGATCCCTCCAACACAGATTTTTGTGAGAGCTTATCCTTGAACTCTCCCCCTCTATGGCTGGCCGAATGAGTGCAAGAAGGTGGGTGAAAGATGCCTTCTCAATCACCTTCCCAATAATGTGTGGGAATAGGAACATGGGGTGTGAGTTTGTCTCTTGGAGACTTCTCCCCTCAATCATCCGCACAAGCCAAATTTGTGTGGTCCCTCTCCCTTATTTTTGGGTCTAATTAGTGTGTAGAATACCCCAAGTGGGTGTAGGAAGTTCCTCCCAATTATTCCAGCTATTTTTGGTAGGTTGGGCCAAAATAGCACTCGGGTTGTCCAAATATTTTTTATCAACTTTAGTTGGCACTTTATGTGGGCTTCTATAATTATCACGACGACCCAACTAAATATTTGGTAGCCCATTCTCATATACTGGACCCGATAATAAATTTAATTAACCGCACATTAATTAAATATACCAATCAATTACACGAATTCATTCGCTAGGAAATTCAAATACATATCCACTTTCAATTTCAAGTACATACGGGCGCGGTGTCACAAGTTCACCCCCCCTTAACGGGAATTTCGTCCCCGAAATTCACAAATGTTCATCCAAAAAGAAATGCGTATTGTTCCTTCATTAAAGCTTCCGTTTCCCAAGTTTCTTCTTCAACTCGGTCACTTTTCCAAAGGATTTTCACCATTGGAACTTTCTTGCTTCTTAGTTTCTTTACTTGCCTATCAAGTATCCTCACCGGCCGTACGGCATAGTTCAAGTCCTCACGTATTTCCACGGGTGGTTTCTCTAACACGTGAGACGGATCCGGCACATATTTCTTTAGCATAGACACGTGGAACACATTATGTATCTTCTCCAATTCTGGAGTCAACTGCAATCGGTATGCTACGGCCCCAATTCTTTCAAGAATCACAAATGGCCCTATGTAGCGTGGATTAAGTTTCCCTCGGCTTTGAAATCGGATGATTCCTTTCCAAGGTGAAACTTTCAAGAACACCTCATCTCCCACCTGAAATTCCAAGGCTCTCCGGCGCTTATCGGCATAGCTCTTCTGTCTATCCTGGGCCGCCTTAAGTCTCTCTCGAATCATTTTCACCTTTGACTTGGTGATCTCCACCAATTCCGTGCTCTCGAGCTTGGCCATGCCAACCTCGTCCCAACACAACGGTGTACGACATCTTCTCCCATACAATGCCTCGTATGGGGGCATGCCAATACTTGCCTGATAACTATTGTTATAGGCAAACTCTATGTGAAAGACATTAGAATATACTTTAGAATATACTTTAGAATATTCTTCTATCCTTAGAATATACTTTAGAATATTTTAGGAATATACTCTAGGATATTATTATTGTATAGAATCTTATAGGAATATTCTATCTTTGTAATGTATATTTATAGGGACTTAACCCTCCAATGAAATACACAGAAAATCATTCTCTCCATCTTAAATATTATTCTAGTTTATATTTCAACATGGTATCAGAGCCTTCCATTTTAGTTTAGTTTTTCAGATTTCAGTTTAATTTTCAGACTGGTTTCTTTCTTCAAGAATCTGAGTTCAGTCTTCAAATTATTCAGAACCTTCTTCAGGGATTTCAGTTGTTTTCAGATTCTTCAGAACCTCTAGGCATCGTTCTATCTTCAAGACAGATCCTCTACAGAACCTCTATTCAGAACCTTTGAGAACCTCTCAGTACAGTCCAAACTCTGGTGCGCATGCCATCGACACTCAGGTGTTCAAATTCTGCAGTTCCAAATTAAAGCCCTTAATACTCACGCACCTCTGAAGATAGTCGCAGATGCCGCACGCGCCGGCTCGTAACACCACTTTTCTGGCCGGAGATTTGATCGGTTTCAACAGGCTCGCCTGAGAGTCCTCTACCCCAGATCTGCGCATCTGCCTTGGATTTAAGTTTGGAGTCAACATTAGCCAAAGCTCACTGCGTATTTTATTCTCCCCAAGCCCATAAACGGGAAAGTTGCCGTAAGCTCAGCTCTTTTTACTTGTTTAATGAATATCTCAATTTTATTTTAACCAAAAAAAAAAAAAAAAAAAAAAAGAAAAAAAAAGAAAGAAAAAATGTTTCGTACAGGTCAATTTGACAGAGTAATATGCAATTACTGCAAGAAGTCTGGACACTTGCTCAAAGATTGTAGAAAGTTGGCATTCAAAAATCAAGGAAATTTGATCGCTCATGTTACCTCATCTGATGGATCAGTTGCTATTTCTTCAGACGAGTATGCTAAATTTATTTGCTACCAAGAATCTCTAAAGCATTCATCTACCCCTATCTCGATAGTCGCAAATTCAGGTATTTCAAACACATGTCTTGTTTCATCATCCTCAAAATGGGTCATTGACTCAGGTGCCACAGATCATATGACTGGTAATCCTAGTCTATTCTCATCATTTCACTCACATTTACCTGCTTCCAGTGTCACTTTAGCAGACGGGTCCACCTCACCCGTTCTTGGATCTGGTACTGTTGTACCAACTTCTACATTACCATTATCGTCTGTTTTGAGTCTTCCTAATTTTGCATTTAATCTGCTTTCCATCAGTAAAATCACACGTACTCTTAATTGTTCTGTAACATTTTTTCCGGGATATTGTGTGTTTCAGGATCTGTTAACGAAGCATACTATTGGTCAAGGACATGAGTCGGGTGGTCTTTATATTTTGGATACATCAATTACAAAAGGTATCTCTTGCCTCGGGGTTGGAAATCTATTAGAAGCTCATTACCGATTAGGACATCCATCTCTCTCACTAATGAAGCAATTATATCCTCAGTTTAATAAGGTGTCTTCTATACAATGTGAGTCGTGTGAGTTTGCTAAACATCATCGCACTAGTTTAAGTCCCCGACTTAATAAACGAGCAAATGCTCCGTTTGATCTTGTCCATACTGATGTTTGGGGGGCATGTCCAGTTGTGTCCAAACCTGGTTTCAAATATTTTGTCACTTTTGTTGACGATTATTCTCGTATGACATGGGTGTATTTTATGAAGCGCCGATCCGAGTTATTTACTCATTTCTCTGCATTTTGTGCTGAAATTAAAACTCAATTTAATGTTCCTGTTCGTGTGTTAAGGGGAGACAATGCCCAAGAATATTTATCTGCTCCATTTAAATCTTTTATGCTTCAACATGGCATTATTCATCAAACTTCATGCGTAGACACACCTCCTCAAAATGGAGTTGCTGAAAGAAAGAATCGACATCTGTTAGAAACTGCAAGGGCTCTTCTATTCCAAATGAATGTGCCTAAACAGTTTTGGGCTGACGCTGTGTCTACTTCATGTTTTTTGATCAATCGTATGCCATCTTCTGTTTTGGATGGTAAAACTCCTTATCAATGTCTTTTTCCAAATAAAGAACTTTTTCCTATTCCACCTAAAATATTTGGTTGCACTTGTTTTGTTAGAGATGTTAACCCTCATCGGACGAAATTGGACCCCAAGTCATTGAAATGTATTTTCTTGGGTTATTCTCGAGTTCAAAAGGGGTATAGATGTTTTTGTCCAAGTACAGGTCGATATCTTATTTCTATTGATGTCTCATTTCATGAAAATACACCATTTTCATCATCCAAGACAGATATTCATGAGGACAACGATGAAATACTCATTTACACAGTTACTATACCTGAGACCACACCTTCAGTAACTATGTCGAATGTCACTGTTCCTGACCCTAGACCTCCTGTACACTTGGTTTACACCCGTCGACACAAAGCACAAGATCACTCCCCACCTGTGACACCTGTGATTACATATCCTGATACTGGTCCGACTTCGATCTCATGTCCTGAACCAGTACCTGCATCTTCAGATCTTGTCTCTACATCTGATCTTGACCTCCCGATAGCACTACGTAAAGGTACACGGTCTTGTACTCATCCTATTTCCTCATTTGTGTCATACAGTCAGTTATCTCCTGCCTCATGTTCTTTTGTTGCTTCCATTGATTCTATTTCTGTTCCCAAATCTGTTAAAGAAGCTTTGTCTCATCCTGAATGGCGTCATGCCATGGTAGAGGAAATGAATGCTTTGGATCTGAATGGTACTTGGGATTTGGTATACTTGCCTTCAGGGAAGAAGTCTATTGGATGTAAGTGGGTCTTTGCTGTTAAGGTTAATCCAGATGGATCTGTTGCTCGATTGAAAGCTCGATTGGTTGCAAAGGGTTATGCTCAAACCTATGGTGTTGATTATTCTGACACTTTTTCTCCTGTTGCTAAATTAACATCTGTCAGGTTACTTATCTCACTCGCTGCAACTCATGATTGGCACTTACACCAGTTGGACATTAAAAATGCATTCTTACATGGTGACCTTCAGGAGGAAGTTTATATGGAGCAACCTCCAGGATTTGTTGCTCAGGGGGAGTATGGGAAAGTTTGTCGACTTCGCAAATCTCTTTATGGTCTGAAACAGAGTCCTCGTGCATGGTTTGGGAAATTCAGTCAATCCATTGAACGGTTTGGAATGATAAAAGGTCAATCAGATCACTCTGTCTTTTACAGAAAAACGAAAGCAGGTATCACATTGCTTGTGGTGTATGTCGATGATATTGTGATTACAGGAAGTGATACCGCAGGTATTTTGGCCCTTAAGAATTTTCTTCATAGCCAATTCCAAACAAAAGACCTAGGCTCATTGAAATACTTTCTGGGTATTGAGGTAACACGGAGTAAGAAAGGCATATTTCTATCTCAGCGTAAATATGTACTTGATTTACTAACTGAAACAGGGAAATTGGGAGCAAAGCCAAACACAACTCCCATGGTTCCCAATGTGCAACTCACTTCAGAAGGCATACCATTCGAAGACCCAGAAAGGTACAGAAGATTGGTTGGAAAGCTTAACTATCTCGCAGTCACTCGTCCAGACATTGCTTACTCTGTGAGCGTAGTGAGTCAATATATGTCATCTCCGACAGTTGATCATTGGAATGCAGTAGAGCATATATTATGTTACTTGAAGGGGACACCAGGACGAGGTATTGTTTACCAAAATCATGATCACATGAGAATAGAATGTTTTGCAGATGCTGATTGGGCTGGATCTAAAGATGATAGGAGATCCACATCTGGCTATTGCATCTTTGTTGGTGGTAATCTCGTCTCTTGGAAAAGTAAGAAGCAAAATGTGGTTTCTCGTTCGAGTGCTGAATCAGAATATCGGGCTATGGCACAATCGGCATGTGAGATAATCTAGATAAACCATTTGCTGAGTGAAATCGGATTGAAGACACCAATGCCTGCTAAACTCTGGTGTGATAATCAAGCTGCTATACACATTGCCAACAACCCAGTGTTTCATGAGAGAACAAAACATATTGAGGTCGATTGTCACTTTGTTCGAGAAAAGATACAACAAGGATTGATCTCTACAGGATATGTGAAGACTGGAGAGCAACTTGGAGATTTGTTCACTAAAGCATTAAATGGAATTCGTGTTGGTTATTTATGTAACAAGTTGGGCATGATAAATATCTATGCTCCAACTTGAGGGGGAGTGTGAAAGACATTAGAATATACTTTAGAATATACTTTAGAATATTCTTCTATCCTTAGAATATACTTTAGAATATTTTAGGAATATACTCTAGGATATTATTATTGTATAGAATCTTATAGGAATATTCTATCTTTGTAATGTATATTTATAGGGACTTAACCCTCCAATGAAATACACAGAAAATCATTCTCTCCATCTTAAATATTATTCTAGTTTATATTTCAACACTCTACAAGTGCTAAATGGTTGTCCCAACTTCCTTGGAACTCCAATGCACAAGCTCTCAACATATCCTCTAAAATTTGTATAACCCGCTCAGATTGTCCATCTGTCTGTGGGTGAAAAGCAGTGCTGAACTTCAGTTTTGTCCCCATGGATTCTTGGAACTTCGGCCAAAATCGTGATGTGAATCGTGGATCCCTGTCGGACACAATGGTTATAGGAACGCCATGTAGCCTCACGATCTCATCCACATACAACTTGGCTAACCTCTCAAGTGCATAGTTAGTGTTGATAGGTAGAAAATGTGCACTCTTTGTAAGCCTATCAACCACAACCCATACGGCATCATAATTCTTAACTGTCCGTGGTAGTCCCACCACAAAATCCATAGTCACGTGCTCCCATTTCCACTCTGGAATGGAAAGTGGCTGCAATAACCCAGCTGGATGCTGATGTTCTGCCTTGACTTGCTGACAAGTAAGGCATCGACTGATGTACTCGGCTATTTCCCTCTTCATACCAGACCACCGGTAACTTTCTTTCAAGTCACGATACATCTTCGTGCCCCCCGGGTGCATGGCATACGCCGATGAATGAGCCTCCTCTAAGATGGACTTTCGGAGCCCCTCATCCGATGGTACACACACACGGTCACGGAATAATAAGAGACCGTCATCTCTTTCCCTGAAATCCTCAACCGGTCCCGCTAGCATGCGTTCACGGACCTTCATCAGCTCTTCGTCAGTTTCTTGACCCTTCTTGATCTCATCCAGTAACGTAGGTCTCACCTCGAATCTAGCTAACAAGGCACCATCGCTAGATATCTCCAATTGGGCTCTCAATGCCCTCAAACTAGTCAACAATGTCCCAGACGAACTCTTTCGGCTCAAGGCATCCGCCACCACGTTGGCTTTACCGGGGTGGTACTCAATGATAAGATGGTAGTCTTTTATCAACTCCATCCATCGCCTCTGCCTCATGTTCAACTCTTTCTGAGTAAACACGTATTTCAAGCTCTTATGGTCAGTGTATATATGACATGTCTCCCCGTAGAGATAATGCCTCCAAATCTTCAGTGCAAATACCACTGCCCCCAGTTCTAAATCATGAGTAGGATAATTTACCTCATGTTTCTTCAACTGTCGTGAAGCATAGGCAATTACCCTCCCATTCTGCATCAACACACATCCAAGTCCTTGGATGCTAGCATCGCTATAGACATCGTACCCCATACCTTGTTTGGGTAATGCGAGTACCGGTGCCTCAGTCAATCTCCTCTTTAGTTCAATGAAACCTTTCTCACATTTGTCATCCCATACAAACTTAGCTCCTTTACGAGTGAGCTTCGTCAACGGTGATGCCAAAACAGAGAACTTCTCCACGAACTTTCTGTAGTAGCCTGCCAAACCAAGGAAACTACGAATTTCCTTGACATTCTTTGGCCTCTCCCATTCGGTAATGGCTTCTATTTTCTTGTTATCAACCGCAATTCCCGATCCCGAAACCACATGCCCGAGAAAGCCAATCTCCTTAAGCCAAAATTCACATTTAGAAAACTTGGCATAGAGTTGCTTCTCCCGTAGCGTCTCAAGAACGAGTATCAAGTGCTCCTCATGCTCTTCCTCGCTTTTTGAGTAGATCAAGATGTCATCTATGAACACTATCACGAATCGGTCCAAGTATTTGTGGAATACTCGGTTCATCAAGTCCATGAATGCCGCCGGGGCGTTTGTTAACCCAAACGACATAACAAGGAACTCAAAATGTCCATACCTAGTGCGGAAGGCACTCTTCGGTATGTCATCCTCTTTGATCTTCAATTGATGGTACCCCGACCTCAAGTCAATCTTCGAGAACACAGTTGCTCCTCGTAATTGGTCAAACAAGTCATCAATCCTAGGCAAAGGATACCTATTCTTGATTGTGACCTTGTTCAGTTGACGATAGTCAATGCACATTCGAAGTGTCCCATCTTTCTTTTTCACGAAAAGAACCGGTGCTCCCCACGGGGAGTGGCTTGGTCTAATGAAACCGTTATCCAAAAGCTCTTGCAATTGGGTTTTCAACTCGTTAAGTTCTGCGGGTGCCATTCGGTATGGCGGTATGGAGATTGGTTTGGTGCCGGGCTCGACCTCGATCACAAATTCAATCTCCCTATCGGGTGGAAGTCCCGGTAAGTCCTTTGGAAAGACATCCGGATACTTGCATACCACCCTCACATCATCAATGCTCGTCTCTTCCTTTGTTTTGTCTACCACGTATGCTAGATATGCGTGGCAACCCTTTCTCATCATACTCCTAGCTCTCACGGCGGAGATGATACAACTATTGGATTTGGCCCGATCCCCCTCGAAGCGTAAGGTT